TATTTAATTAATTATGAATTACATTTATACATTAGACTATCATTTTTAAAAAATAAGAGGGGGGGTATTATAACTAGATCAACTTGCTTCACACCGCCGATAAAGGATTCTGTGATACTCGAAACTTTCGATTTTACATTTAATGTTAAAGTGAATTTATTTTGAACAAATTAGAATTTTTGCTTATTCACAATTATTGGCTTTTTATTAATTATTGTAATTACATTTATATTTTGACACACGCACGCACGCACGCACACAGTTATCATATATTATATACTAATATCGTACAGAGTAGCCCACGTAAAGTGTTACAAGCTAATACCCAGATAGCAAAGTGTGTTTTAGCAAAATCATACAAATCTGATTATGATGCTAGCAACTTGCCGTAGATTTGTCTTCAACGGTTTCGAATATGCCGACATTGTAGCAACATGCAGACAACAATGTGTATATGTATTGCCAGCAGTTTAAAATAGCAAAATAGCTGTGTCAATGTTGTCGGCAATGACAGCATTATATGATGCTGCATATTATTATAGCAACATGATGGTAATAGTATTTTGATGATGACGATTTTAAAGTTGTTGCCAAATTGCTGGCAAGTTGCTACTCAATGTTATCATATCGTGAAGGTATCAAGTTGCCAACAAATGAGGACTCAGTTGCTGCAATTCTGGTAGCAACACATATTTAGCAATGCATACTTAGCAAGCAACAAGACAGACACGTTGCTATCTGGGTAACTCTAAAAATATTTGTCCTATCAAAAAGTTGTTCATGAAAGTTTTATTTTTCGAGGAGCCTTTATAATTACGTAAACAAAAATCCACCCCCGTCCCCCCTTGAAGAGGGGGGTAACTTCAAAGTTTCAAATGGGATCCCCTCTAAAATGTTACATATTTGGATTCTACGGAGAAAAACAAGTAAACTTTGTTTGAAACATTTCTTTGGAAAATGCTCCTATCAAAAGTTATGAACATTTAAACCTTTAACTGTTTTATTCATGATTGAACTCCATTGACACAAAGTTGTGTTCACGATACAATGAAAACAAAAACGACCTTGAATAGAATAATGTTTCATTTATATTTATACATCTCATTTAGTAAGATTGCAAAATATATTAAATTTAATACACAATTAAAAAACTAAATAAATACAAATAAAAACATTAGAGATATTTATATTTATAGATTCTAACTTCTAACTATTTAGTATTTTTTTAACCTTGATTGAGGTATATATTATATTTATACACGGTGGGCCATTTTAATCCCCCCACCTGAATTTCTCGGAATCTAAGCGAGATAGAGAAAAATGGTCCAGACAAAAGTTGAAGGGGCCAGAGAGGGTCATCTAATGGTGCCAAGGACCTTGACCTTGAACTCGATTTTCAAGGTCAAAGTGATTTTTTTAAATGGGAACACCTATTTTTTACCACGGATTTGAAAAGAGCGGGAAATTTTACGTTCAAAATGATATGTTTAATAAGATCATGGCAAGGTGAAATGAAGGTCAAGTTTGCGAATTTTGATTTCCCAATTGAATATTCCGGAACCTAAGTATCCTATTTCACTACTGCGCATGTGCAAGTTTCGTACTTCACTACTGCGCATGCGTTAGGTACTTACTACGTCCACGTCGTTGTTTCTGGGTAGCGCTAAAAGTAAGGTTAATACAGTTAAAGAATCCTCGAAAGTAGTGATTCCCATTTCGAAAAATCACTATGACCTTGAAATAACCTTGAAAATCGAGTTCAAGGTCAAGATCAGAGTACAGATAGGTGACCCCCTCGGTCCCCTTTAACATTTGTCTGAACCAATTTTACGTATTTGGCTTAGGTTCCGGAAAATGTAAGTGGGGAGTTTAAATTCGCAAATTTGACCTTCGTTCGACCTTGCCATGACCTTGATAAACATATCATTTTGAACATAAAATTTCCCGCTCTTTTCAAATCCGGGGTCAAAAATAGGTGTTCCCATTTAAAAAAATCATTTTGACCTTAAAATAATCTTGAAAATCGAGTTCAAGGTCAAGGTCCTTGGTACCATTAGGTGACCCCCTCTGTCCCCTTCAACTTTTGTCTGGACCATTTTTCTCTATCTGGCTTAGATTCCGAGAAATTCAGGTGGGGAGATTAAAATGGCCCACCGTGTATAAGACATTAACGCTTCAATATCGATATATCATGGTTTATAAATAAAACATTCTCTTTCTTTCTTTCTTTCTCTCTCTGTTTATTTTCAAAATATCTTATCATAACATTTATAATTGCAAATGAACTACAAACAAAAGTTTTCAATTTCGCGCGTTTATGCTAGAACCAATTACTAATACAGCACCAAATGTACCACGTGACTACAGTCCTCCCCCCGCGAGGCGGCTTTACTCCCCTCGCCAAAAATTACAGGTTTATGCTTCGTCCCGGTATTCCTATGTCCATGGCGTCAATACATCAACGCCAAAATCAAGAAGACTAGAACTAAGGAGGATCAACTCGTGCCAATAGCGGTAGTGGGGGTGAGGCAAAAAGTGGCGACGGATAACTTCCCCCACTCTTGCGCTTCATTAGTCCTCTCTGTCGCTCTATATAGTCGTCGCTCTGTCGTTCTATAATCGTCACTTTGTCGCTCTTATATCGAACTTTCACACAATGCGCAGTGCCGCTGCACATCGTGTGAATAGCTGCGGACGTTTTTTGACTCACCCCCACCACGCGAGTTGATCCTCCTTAGTTCTAGTCTTCTTGGCCAAAATCTTGACATTCTTAACAGCAAGCTGGTGTTGCTTCTCTTAAGGTAAATTTTCACGAGCTGCTTAAATAGGCTGTTTCAGCAACAAAAAGAATCACGTGGTCAAAATTGCCGAATATCAAGCGTCCATTTTGATCACGTGATCCTTTTTGTCGATTTGAGTAGCTCGTGAAAATTTACCTTAAGGCTACTTTCCTTTTAGGAGACACACATGCTTTCCTTTTGACACAAATCGACATAAGCGTCGTTCTATCCTTCTTGACATTCAGAGAGTGACAAAGATAGAACGATACTTGTGTTGACTGTGTCTCCTAAAAGGAAAGCAGCCATAGTATCTCGTCGATGTCAGCCCGTCAGCGATCAAAAGGCCCAGACACAGAGGCCTAGATCTATCTCCAGATAAATCCAAATGTATGGTCTTCAGTAAAAAGAAAAGGTCATCCTCCATTCTCAGACCTCTTCACATCAATTGTCAAAACCTGCAAACTGTCACCTCTCTTAGGTTCCTGGGAATCATCCTGAACTCACGTCTCAAAGGCAATGAACATATTGAATATCTTATTCAGAAGGGAAGAAAAATTCTCAGTGCTATTTTCTGTTTGGCTGGTTGTTGATGGAGTGTTCACCCACAACAACTCCTCATACTATACCGCTCAATGTTTCGGAGCTCAATCGAATATGGATGCCAAATCTTCCAAATTAAGAACAATCAAGGCAAATTCCTTCAACTCCAAAGACTCCAATTTAGAGCCTTACGGACTGCGGGCGATTACAGAGTTTCTACTCCTATTAACATCCTACTTGCCAAATCCAAGGAGCCGCCCCTAAACATACGTTTCGCCTATCTCACTTCTAAATTCCTTTACAAAAATCTGACAATTACTGAGAATCCTGTCTTAAATAACTTTGCTGACATGGAGAGAGGTCTCTGTAATCCAATCCAGCGCTCCAAAGCGCTACAATTTATTCCCTGTTTATGAGAATACATCACTCATAAACATGTTGCGGGCTCTATCTTCTCGTCGGCTCCTCCATCATTCTTGCATAATTATCAATCCTCTATCTTCTCTCAACCATTCATCGATTCAATGTCCCTGATTGACCAATGTGTTATATCTTGTTCCTCAACTGTTTTTCAAGCTGAATTCGACAATAGGACTTCGGAATTCATTCATCCTTACGTCTCTTTCTACACAGACGGGTTCAAATTGGATCGGACCTCTGCTGCTGGTGTGGGCATCTACTCCCCAGATCTCGACCTTAGAATCCAACACAGAATGCCCTCTGAAACTTCCGTCTTTCGGCTGAAGTCTGAGCCATCTTACAAGCCATCATAACTGCTTGCGAAAACAAATGTTCCAATATCGTTATATTCACCGATTCGAAAAGAGTCCTAGAAGCCATCAGCCACACCAGTGTAAACCACAAGAACTATCTCATCAGTTACATCAAACAAAACCTCTGGCTTGCTTTCCAGTTGGAGACTGTAGTCACCCTGTTCTGGGTCCCTTCTCACAAAGGGATCCTAGGCAATGAAATAGCAGATCAGCTCGCCCGGAATGCATGTAATTCAAACTTTCTGTATACCAAATTCCATACCCTGATCTTCAATTAGAATCCAGGCTGAGGAGCGAACAAAGTTTTACTGCTTTTTTAGTGGAATAAGCTTTAGTAAAAGGACAGCTCTTCGCAGATCACTACCGACTTTTCGCCCAAGACCTGATATCACTACAATAAATCGCTTAAAAGAGAAGAAATTGTACTTGTCAACCGTATTAGATCTAATCACTACAATCTCCGATATAGTTTTCACAGAAAAAATATAGTCGACTCCCCGGACTGCGCTTGCGGAGATCCACGCTAGGACATCAACCACTTCATATTTCACTGCCGACTGACTCGACATAAAGGCGATAAACTGATTAAATATCTCCGCATCAAGTTTCCTAACTCTCCAAATAATTTATTTCTTTGCCTCGTGAAACCCTCTTCCAAACTCTGCCGCCTTTTGCTATCCTTTTTCCGCTCTTTAGATACTCAAATTTGATTTGCCGCTCTCCCCCTGACGCCCTTCCAATTGGAAGGTGTGCGCGGAGCGTTCTACGCGTCGCTATATTGGATACTGGCCATATTGCGGGCGTCCGCCTGCGGGAGCCATCAATTCAAAAGAAAAAGAAGATATTCAGAGAGTGATAAAGATAGAACGACACTTATGTCGACTGTGTCTACTAAAAGGAAAGCAGCCATAGTATCTCGTCGATGTCAGCGATTAAAAGGCAGAGATTTTGAGTGTTAAATTTGAATCACACGCTCATGTAATTGTGCATAATCTCTCTTTAAATTTATATCTTTGATGTAGACTACTCCATATTAATGTGCTGTAAAAAGTTTACGAAGAAAAGTAACTGATTGAGTTGATTGTTCCATGAAGATGATTAGAAATGTTGTTGTAGCCATGTCTGGCGGTGTCGATAGTGCCGTGACGGCTCTTCTACTTAAAGACAAAGGTAACACTAAAAAAAAATTCTAGTTTACCTCTTTCATTTGATACATGTGTTAAGGATACATTATATATACAATATATATATATTTTTTAGGATTCAATATTACTGGAGTATTTATGAAAAACTGGGACGTTAGAGATGAAACAGAAAAGTGTATGGTTGAAAAAGATTATGACGATGCTCGATGGATCTGTGACAAATTAGAAATTCCTTTGATACAGATCAACTTTATTAAAGAATATTGGAACGAAGTTTTTAGGTACTTGAAGATATATTTAAGTATTTGAACTTTTTGACAACCACAAGTGAGGATAGCGACATTTTTATTCCAATTTTTTTAGTGATTTAGTAGAAAAGTATCAGAATGGATATACTCCGAATCCAGATATTTTGTGCAACAAGAACATCAAGTTTGATAAATTTTTTCATCTTGCATGTAACAAGTTTCAAGCAGATGCAATTGCAACTGGTCATTATGCTAAAACAAACTTCGGACCATATCTAGAGAATTATAAAGCAAACACTAGCAAGTATCCTACATTAAGTAACATTAATCCATCAATTAAATACAATATTTCTTAATATAATGCTACTATTGTAATTCTGTAGATGTACACTTGTTACAGGCGCAAGATAGCAATAAAGATCAAACGTTTTTCTTGAGCCAAGTACCACAACAAACCTTGAGACGTTGTATGTTTCCTCTCGGAAATTATTTGAAAAATCATGTAAAGATGATGGCTACACAAGCAGGATTGTGCCAAATAGCACGAAAGAAGGAAAGCACAGGTATTTGCTTTGTGGGAAAACGTGAGTTTCAAGATTTTATTTCAGAGGTAAAAGATACACATTTCTCTCATAATGCCGATTACTTGCGATAAGACAAAACAAGATGACAATAACAATGATTTTGTAACGGTTGCAGTATATAGTAGATAAACCTGGTGATTATATAGATCTAGACAGTGGACTGCAAATAGGTAAACACGATGGTATTCACAAATGGACAATAGGGCAAAGATGTAAAATTGCTGGCTGTCTCAAATCTTATTACGTGTTTAACAAAGATCAGGAGTCAAATACTATTACAGTGGTACGCGATAGAAAATAAAGATTTTGTTGAAAATAAATTAAGATATTTGTTAATAATATTCTTATTCTGATGTACACATAGGTAGGTGGTACAACTCATCCAGCATTATACACTGACTTTTTAATAACACAGAAAATGCATTGGATCTGTGAGGAGCCATATGAATTGAGATGGAATAATGGTGTGTTGAATTGTAACTTTCGCTTTCAACACAGAAATCCATTAATTGCTTGCAAAGTATACAAGATGTCCAATGGTCGCTTATTTATTCGTCTTGATGCACCTTTACGAGCAATTACAAAGGGGCAGGTAATTTACAATGTATAATGAAGATGTACTTTTATGATACTTTGACACTTTATATATGTAATAACAATTAAATTATCATAAAATAGTCATTTACTAATCCAACCAAGCTTTACTTCAGTAAATTAGGTAATAACATGCCGTTATTCATTTTTCAACCATTGCTTAATTTTACACATTAGTTTGGCCACATCATATATCGACTAATTTATATATATATATATATCTGTGTATGTGTAAATATAAAATGTGTATAAATTTCAGTATGCTGTTTTGTACTCTGGAGAGGAATGTCTGGGCAGTTCAATGATAACATATGCAGGACCATCTTATTTTGCACTTGGGCAGAATTTTATAGGTTACACTCATTGCCATAATTTAATAGCATCTGATAGAGTTTAAATGAAATTCATTGTATATGTATAAATATATATATATGAATATTTTTAATTAATAAAATTAATGTTACAGTAAAATTGTTTATAAATTTAGGTAATTATGAAGGAGGGGGCGACCTCACCGATTTTAATGAAATTGGGCTCATTCGACAAGTTTTTGCATAAAACGAAAGAATCTGGCAGAAAAAAGCGTCGCTCTGCCCCGCGAATCGAGATATTAAGATAAGCGTTAAAATTCACGACTATTTAGGTTAGGAAATCTGTCAGCCACACTGCGAAATTGTAACCCACGGAGTAATAAGAAGCATAATGATATTACATCATGATAAGAAGGAGATCAAGCTCAAGCGGTCGGCCATGAAAAAGATGGGCTCGAAACACGGTGTCGGAAAAGCGCTGTATAGAAGAACTGATCCGAGCGCACCTGTCGGAGAAAACTGTGAACTAGGGTATTTTTCAACAAGTCGTATTTCGTATGCGCGCGAAGTCGTGTTAAGTGTTTGTGCATTGTAAAGTATTAGGACAATTCTTGTGCTCAGATCCTAACGAAGTTAAAGCCTATGGTACACGATGCTTGTTTTCTTGTTGGTTTAACTGATAGATTCGTTGCGTGCTTCTTTGTGGTCTGCGTTGCATACTGCTGTGATGGAAGCACTGTTAATCATGGCTTCACACGTGTTAATTCACTTGCGAGTTAGCTTGATGTTTCATAGGTCCAGCCATAATTTGGACAAACGACCGGATTGGTTAGTTCAATGGCGGTATTCCAAAATTGACTGCCAGTATTGAAAATCTATAATGCACGTAACGTAAACTATAGGTTTTCAATACTGGCTGTAAATTTTAGAACACAGTTAATAAACAACCAATCCAATCATCTGACAATTGATCATGTTTTTTTCAAACATATGTATAAACATAAGTATGGCAAACTGAAGTGTAAAAAGAGGATATAACCAAAAATATTTGAGAAAATTATTTACAGGTTACATTCATTGTAAATATTAAGGCATAAAATATTTAGAAAATGTTATTATCAATTTAATAGTAATCCCAGCATGTCCAAAATCAGGGCATAAGACATCGTAAAGATATCTTGTAAGCAATCTTTTTGATTTTTTTTTCCTATAAATTTATTCTTACTTTTTTTTATGTATTTATTAATATTACTACGTAAAACATACGTTAAATATTATTTTTGTTTTTAATAATATCTTCTGTGTACATCCTAACCTAAATTCTTTACCTACCTAGCAGCAAATCTCATAAGAAAAATAGCACCGGACCTATCATTGAAAACTAGCATGCTAGCACGCATGGCATCACGCAATACGCCATGTTTCTAGCAGCGTAGCCAGCACAGCTGCTAGCATAACGCCTCGCATATGATCTAGCAGGAAAACAAGCATCGTGTACCGTAGGCTTAAGATTCCAATACTTCTTGTTGGTTTTGATTTAGTATGTATTCAATAAATAAATATAAAAATTCGTGTATAGAAATCGTATGTATTTATGTATAACAAATAAATTAAACTTGAAGAGAAACTGCTGTTTAATCTACTAGATTAATGAAATTCGACTTTGTTCCTCTTCTTATATTAGAGAGTAATATTTTATTAATATTTTTTAAATATTTGTCTAAATATGCCTAACTGCATAGTTCCTTATTGTAAATGTGGAAGCAGTGGAAAAAGTCTATTTGCACCACGAATGGTAAGAGGAAATAAATAAATA